GGAAGATCCCCTCTCCACTGCTGCCACAAGTTCTACTATGCTATTCCTCCTCCTTGCCCCAGATTGCCCCCCAGGACTGTGGCCCAGATCCAATTATGGGCAAAGCAACGGAGTCCTGCCTCAGTCCCAGCAAAGAAACCCCTATAATCTCCTTCTGACCAGTTGTTAGATCCCCTTATTGTCTATGGGCTAAGAGCTCCAGAAGCAGTCACTACTGCTGCCACTGCTGATTTAGTCACTCCTTGGCCTGGAAATTTGTTTCACTCTGTCTTTTTGTGGGTTCTGGTGCTTTAGAATTTGTTTAGAGTCATTTTTTACAGGTATTTGGAGGGGTTTGGGGGAGAGCTCAAGCAAGTCACTGCTTTCACTCCACCATCTTGGCTCCACCCCCCTGATTTAGTCATTCCTAAGGCCTTCTTCGGGTTTGCTGGGTCCTTGTCTGTGCTGGCATGGGCTGTGCTGGACTGTGCTCCTCTCTCAGTGTGGTGCAACATTGATCTTTCCTGCTCACCTTTCTGATTGTCTTGGGCTGGAAATTTGTTTCACTCCATCTTTTTATGGCTTCTGCTGTTCTAGAATTTGTTTAGAGTCATTATATAAAGGTATTTGGAGGGGTTTGAGGGAGACCTCAGGTGAGTACCTCCTTTTACTCCTCCATCTTGGCTCCACCTCTCTTTTACATGTCTATATCTGACAAGGGAACATTGAGGTTTTTAATGATTATACTTTTGCTGTCTGTTTTTTGTACAATTTGATTAGCTTTTCCTTTAAATACTTAATTGCTATAGCATTTTGTACATATGTAAGTATTAACATTATTATATTGTATATGGCACTTTTAAGCTTAATTATATTTCTCTGTTTAACTCTTTTTAACATTTTTTTAACATTTAACAATATTTTATTTTTTCCAATTACATGTAGAGATAGTTTTCAATATTCATTTTTTTAAGATTTTGAGTTTTAAATGTTTCTCCCTTCCTCCCTTCCCTTTCTCCTACCCAAGACAGCAAGCAATCTGGTATAGCATTAGGTGGATATGTAGCAATGGGTGGATAGCATTTTCCATCATGAATCTTTTGGAATTGTTTTGGATCATTAAATTGATGAGAAGAACTAAATCTATCATAATTAATCATCACACAATGTTGCTGTTACTTTGTACAATGTTTTCCTAGTTCTGCTCACTTCACTCACCTGCTTAATTTTTTTTTTTTTGTGAGGCAGTTGGGGTTAAATGACTTGCCCAGAGTCACACAGCTAGTGAGTGTTATGTATCTGAGGTCCTCCTGACTCCAGGGCTCTATTCACTGCTGCCCATACCTGATTAATTCTTAATGAATTTATTTTTAATGTTGTCTTTTCTGAGGTCATGATTTTTAGCCCCACTTTTCTGAAATTGCTTATGGCTTAATAATAATTAATTTGACTCTGAATGTATATTTTTAGCTTTCAAATGTGTCTCTTATCAATAACATTGTTAGTCTGCTTTGTACTCTATTTTGCCAATGTCTGTTATTGATAAATTCATCTCATTTAGTTTTGGTTGTTATTTATGCATTTCTCTATGTGTCTCCATTCCCATCTTTCTCATTGAAAAGAAGAAGGAGGTAGAGAAAAAGACTTAAAGTGATTAGCACTAGTAATCTATGGTTGGACTAATCTTTTCCTATTCCTTTTTCCTACCTCTCTTCATTAAGTCCATTTCTTGATCTCTGGTTCTTATACTTTCTTTCTTTGCCTTAGTCTATTCTCTATGATTTACACTACAAAGTTGACACGTGTTGGTTTGATTATTTTTCCTTCTGACTATTCCCTCCCTCTTTAGTCCTTTTCTTTACTTTCCTTGCCCTTACATCCACTTTCCTGGTTATATTTAATGTATTTCTATGTTAAACTTTCTTTCTCTGTATCTGTTTCTTTGTTTTTTCCCTCAACCTTTCTTTAGTTCAGATAAGAGGGAGGATCTTGAAACCCCCATTCCTCCCTTCTATGACTCCATTTTCATATACTCATATTCTCACACACCCTAATTATTGCTAAATAGAAAATTCCTCATCCTTCCCTTCTTCCTTAGGGTTTTCCTTTTTTACACCCTTTTCTTCACTCTCTTACAACTAACTGAATGACATCCTTTGTGTACCTTGAAGACAATGTGGTTTTGAAGAAAAATTTGTTTTTTTTCCCCTTTATTAAAATGTGAGCAATTCAGCATCATTTAGCTATTTCTAACTGCTTAAATCTAATTACCTTTCTACATTTCTCTCGACTATTGTGTTTTTATTTCAAAGTTTTTCCGTGGCTCTAATTTTTTATTAGGAATATGTAAGTCTTTTATTCTACTAAAGGTCCATTTTCCCATTTAGGATAATGTTAAGTTTTTCTAGGGAAGTTATTCTTAGTTGTAAGCCCTTGTTTTTTTGCTTCTTGAAATATTGTTTTTTTTTAAAGCAAGATACTTATGGATCTACGTGCTTCTCTATGATGAAATTGTAAAACTGTGATTTTTTTTAATGTGAGGTCTCTAACTCCTCTCCCCCTTTTTATGTACTAGACCAGTGACATTTTGTAAGGCAGAACCTCATAATCACTGTCTAATACAAAAATTTCTGGTTGTTCTTGTCCACTAGGATATCTCTTCCCAACTTGAAATAATAATAATAATAGGAAGCATTTATATAGTGTCTATTATGTGCCAGGCATTGTGCTAAGCACTTTATAAATATTATCTCATTTGATGCTCATAATAATGCTGGGAGGTAAGTGCTATTATAATTCCTATTTTACAGATGAGGAAACTGAGAGTAGGTAACTTTTCCAAGATTGGTTAAGTATCTGAGGCTGGATCTGAACACAAGTCTTACTGACTCCAGGCCTAGTGCTCTGTCTACTAAGCCACCTAGAGGTCTGAGACCAGTTGTATAGTTTTCTTCAGTGATCTACAGAAAGACATTAACAAATAGTCTTCACTCAGGTTCTTTGTCCTCTTGGGAAACAGTGGGATAAGATTCACCCTGTGGAGCCTGAATCTTAGTTGCTTAAGTGTTACAGGAGCTTCATGTGTAGAGAGAGGAGAACCAGTCTCTCAAAACTCTTTCTGAAAATTATTGAATCAACAGATCCTCTAAGTGACTGTCATTTATTTATTTATTTCTTCTTCTTCTTTTTTTTTTAATCAAAGAGACCATCACCTTTCTCTTTCTCTTAAACTGCAGAAGTAGACCAAAGCCCCAGTCAGATTACCAAAGATGACCTCAACCATGATAGAAATTTTATTGGCTGGTGGTTCAGGTTGTGGTAGAGGGTATTTTTAAGCTCTCAGTTAAGAAGGAAAATCTTGAGATGTGTGAAAAGAATATATAAATGTGGAGGAAAGGATGGGAGGAGTAGGCACCATATAATCCTCATTCTTATATGAATTAGATAAAGGATTTATCTGAAATAACTGGATGACTGTTACTGCCCATTCCTTACAAGCTCACTTACATATTTCCATTTTCTAACTCAGTATCTGTAATTCCTAACTGAGAGCTAGAGAGAGGCTTTTGGACTGCTGATCATTTCACCTTAAAGATGGAGGAGGGGGATCTTTCTCAGAAAGCTGTAGTTCTGAATTTATTCTTCAAAGCAGCATCATATAGTGGAGAAAGCACTGGTCTTGGCATCAGGAGACCTGAATTTAATTCCCATTTCTTCTGTTTACTAAATGTGTGGCCTGGGGGTGAATCACTTCAAATATATAAGATATTTTCTTATCTATAAAAGGCAAGTAAAATACTTACAGTACCTTATCACTGGTTATTTTGAGGAAAACATTTTGTCAATTTCAATGGAAAAGTGAAACATTATTAATCATATTATTATTATTAATCATAATCTAGTCCCTTCCTACCTTTCTAGTTTTCTTACACTTTACACCTCACTGTCTGCTACTCTTTGATCCAGTGACACTGGTTTCCTGGCTGTTCCATGAAACAAGACACTCCATCTCTTGGCCTCATACATTCTCTCTGGCTGTCTCCCATATCTGGAACACTCTTCCTCCTCCGCTCCCAACTATTGATCTCCTTGGCTTCTTTTAAGTCCTAATTAAAATCCTGCCTTCTACAGGAAGCCTTCTCTCTCTCTCTCTCTCTCTCTCTCTCTCTCTCTGTCTCTCTGTCTCTCTCTCTCTGTCTCTCTCTCTCTCTGTCTCTCTCTGTCTCTCTCTGTCTGTGGTTTTTTTTTTTGATAATTATTAATTTATTTTTAGTTTTCAACATTCACTTTCCTAAGATTTTGAGTTTTAAATTTTCTCCCCCTCCCACTTCTTCCCCACCAAGACGGCATGCAATCTGATATAGGCTCTACATATACATTCATGTTAAGCATGTTTTCTCATTAGTCATGATGTAAAGAACAATTAGAACTAATGGGAGGAACCACAAGAATGAAGCAATAAAACAAAACAACACAGGAAAAGGAGAGCAAATAGTATACTTCCATCTGCATTCAGACTCCTTATTTCTTTCTTGGGTGTGGACCCAATATCTCTTAATTCCAGTGCCTTTCTCTTTTAATTATTTCCTTTTTATCTTGTATAGGGCTTACTTTGTGTATATTTGTTTTACATGTTGTCTCCCTTATTAGATTGTAAACTCCTTAAGAGGAAGAAATGTCTTTTGCCACTTTTTTGTAACCGTAGATCTTAACACAATGCCTGGCACACAGTAGGCATTTAATAAATGCATATTGATTGATTGATTAATCATTTAACATTTGCAGTCTTACTTGGGGATTTTGTTAGTTGTGCTTCACTGACCAGTTCTCTCCAATTAGGAGATGATTTTTCCATTTTCCTCAGTAATTTCCCCCTCCCAGCCACTCTCCCTGACCCTGTTAAAGAGACAACACTAATTCCCTGTTAGTTCCAATGAGTCATTATCAACATTTTTCAAACTGAAGGTCTTAGTGGAAGTTGTTGTATATCAATGTACATATATTATTTATGTATTATCTAGGAGCTTCCCGGGCAATGTTATCCTGTTCTTCCTCTGAACAAATGGAGCATACTGATCTAATCAAGCTATATCTTTCCTCAGAAAACTTGGTAAGTTATATTCATTGCTTATATTAACTCTTCTCCATTGCTTTTTGGATGTGTAGTATTTTTATCAGTAATGTGATGCCCTCTTATACAAATTAGCTTATTTTAAGTTTGAAGGTTAATATAATATCCACAAAGATCCATTTAGTTCCCTTGTTTTGGGCTGCAGGAAGTTTGTTTTAGATGAAGAGTTCTGAGTTTATTTTACCACTCTGAGCACTCAGGCAAATTCCTGATACCTAGACAGAGGTTAGGATCTTTGCCTAATCTTACATTTAAATCAGTTTCCTAGTTAACTTCATTGCGGTTGAGGCAAAATTGTGGTTTACTGGGAACAGCTGGGTAATGAAACAACAGATTATTATATTACTGTCTTTAGATAGAGAGAAATTAGGAAAGAGAAGTTAGGAAAATAGCTTTTCATGGTACTTCTCTCAGGGAGCCCTCCTCTCCAAGAGGTGTATGGAGCCAGTGATTCTTGCTAATATTTCCCTCTTCCGCCATAGTTTAGTTCTCTGCTGTAAGGCTTCCCAAAATACTCTGCTTGCTCTAGTCTCTCCAATCCAGGTGCTCAGAATCTCTTCCTGTGATTCTGAGATAACTTCTTTTTAAAAATACACTGCTAAGCACATGACTGGTCTCATACATTGGCTCTGATTACTTCAAGGAGGTGTACAGTCTCACACTCAGTTTTGATTGTTTGATTTAAAAAAAAAGTGTTCTCATCTAGTTAAGCCTAGATGGGGGTGGTTTCAACCCAACCTTTACAATAGCATTATAGTCTATTGGAATACTTCTCTTTTCAGAATTGGGAAGAGATAATTCTAAATGGATGAATGATTGCCCCTCCAATTACCACCTTACCTATCCAAATAACCATTCTATAGCTGTATTGAACACTAAATGGACCATTCTGTCATTGTAGATGTGTTTTTATAATATCTCTATTTTGTTGAAAGCTGATCCTTCTCTGATTCAAAATGTGGTTGTACACAGGTATAAATATCATCTAATGTCATTTTATCGTTGTCAAAAGAAATTGGAAATAGTATAGTCTTCTGTTCTTCCTTCTACCCTGTTCCTTATTTATAAATTGAGATGAAACTCCCATCTATCCTTCCTTTACTTACCCACATTTGATATTTTGATTTTTCCCCCCCAAAGGTTGTACAGTGTTTTTTCTTATCTGGAATTAAAATTAATGAAAACACAGAACACACCTTAAGTCTGCTCACATCAAGAGGAATCACTCCCAGTATAACAATTAAAAACAGCACTTACGCTGGTGTCTTTCACTTTAATTTGTCACAGGTAATTTTATTCGGTGATATTTTATCTCTTGCACTGATACCTAACACAACATATGTGGTTTCTTTCCATTAGCAACTTTATTCTTGTAAAGGAAATATTTTTAATATTTTAGTTTGTGGATCTTGAAAAAAAAGATGAACTAGAGTCAGTCATTCTAGAAATATTGAGCAATTATACAACATATTGGTGGGGATCCAGAATGATATCAATTACAAAATAGAATCAATTCAATTTTCTCAGATGTCAACATCATTCCATTCTGATATTGTTAGTGACTTCTTCAGTTGGACTAGATTTTTTTTAATTGTTTCTTTATTGTTTATTATTTCTTTTTTGCTATTATTTTTTGTTTCTTTATCTCTGAGTTAAGTTCATAAGTTGTCTTTTTGTAAAATTTTGGTTCTATCTTTATGTTAAGGAAACCTGTTATTTCTGTACCACTAGCTGTCCTCACCATGATGCAAGTGGACTCAACCGATCAGCTTTCTCTAGTTACAAGGAAAAAAATCCTCATCCCTTCCATCAATAGAAACTAGATGACTTAATCCTGTGTCTTGCCTATGTGCTGTCCTATTTTTATCCACATTCCCTAAAGTATAAGAAGTCTTATAGGCTCTTTTGGCTTGCTGAGGAGCTGAAGACCCCATTTATTGGTAACTGCTAGCCTTAGCAATAAATTGAACATGCTCAGAACTTTGTTGCCTCAGTTTCCCTTAATTTCAATCAGGTCAGTTGATGTACTTTCATCCAGGAGTTGAGAGGGGACACTGGCCCCTGGGGCAGTCTCTCTGAGAAAGTTCCTGAGAGCACCTTGGTGGTATTTTCATGGAGAGACTTCTTTGTAAGAGGCTACCTTGAAGGTCAGACTCCAACTCAGTTTCAAATCAGCTTCAGCCAAGGTAAAACCCCCATGCTGTTGGGAAAGTTGCAACTTTGCTTGTTTGTCTTTGTGCTCTGTTTGCATTTACTTTAACTATTTGGCAATAATTAATAACTATGCAATCCAGGAAATCCCTCTAAGGGCGTAAAGCATGCATTGTCAGTATATCTCCAGGGCAAGAAGAGATTGGGGAAGCATTGAAAACAGGGTTTTTTCCTAGTTGGAAAAGGAAGGTGCATACCAACTATGCCCCTTCAGAGAAGTCATTAGATGGTCCTTGGAGAATTTTTCTTCAAAGGGAACCCCAGTTCAAGTGAGAGGGATATTTCCCATTCAAGAAGGGGTTGGGGAAGTCTGGAAACAGAAATTCGTTCCCAGTCAAAAAGGAGGTAACTAAAAATAGAGCAAAATTGGCCTAAGACATATAAGAAAGGCCCCACATCTGGCCTGAACAGGGACTTCTACTTGTGCACCCTAATTTTCAAGTGTTCTTGTGTCTATCTTGTCATGTTGTCGGTGTTTTGTATGTCAAACTAGCTTTTTCTGGAGGCCTGGTCAGCCAAAGGAGAAGGAATGGAAACCTTTTTCTTCAGAAAGAAAGTCTCTCTCTGTCTTTTAACTCTGGCCAAGTTGGAAGAAAGACGAGACACAGATAAGAAGGAATCTTTGTTCACAGTCTGCAGAAATTTATGATATCATAAACTAATTAGAAACTAAATTTGTGACTGAAAATATAATTTTCTCTATAGTGAATTTCCAAAATATGGTTTGAATGTTTTTATAAATGCTGAAGTGCTTTAGTGAGTTTTGAGGTAATACTCTTGTAGAATTTGTTTTAAGGACAAATAAGAATAAAACTATGAAAGTTACATAGAAACAATACTTAGATTTTTTTTTATCATTCTTTGTTTGGAAAGTGGATTTATTGTTTTAGTGCTAGGGAAGAAAGTGAATTCACTGATTAGAGAAAGAAAAAAAATGTGTTTTGAAGCTTACAATTTAAATTTATTTAACACTTAAGAATTGTCTATTACTAGCTCTTTCCTAGAAGCTTGTTTGAAATAGGGAGCACCTGAAGAGTAAGTAAAATTTAATTTAGAAAAATGTTTTGGTATTACCCATGTGTATTCTTCTGTTAATGATGTTAACAGAACCTAATTATTTAGATAAACTAGAAACAAGGTTTTCAAAAGAAATTGCCTAAGATAATGCATTTTAAGCTCTTAAGAGCCCCAAAGGCAACAATAGTACTGCAATTAACGGGGGTTGTATAAGAAATTTTTTTGTTAAATTACTAAGAAGAAATTCAGTGGAGATTAGTTCTATAGATAGTCTGGGATATGATTGGGAAATAAATATTAAAGGAATATTGAGCAAGGAAAGAAGGGAAGTGTTAAATCAGAATATGACAAAAACAAGACAGGTACATTTTTAAAAGGATATAAAAAGATAAGATGAACTTGGTAGATATTTGAAGAAAGTTGTAGTCTGTTCATACTGACTGTTAATGAAAGATTTGAAAGTAAAGAGTTTGAAGTTTAGGAAAGAGAGATTTGAGGGAGGTTTTGATCTCATTGGGATAAGAAGGACATGGGAAAATTATGTGATTATTCTTTATGCTGTGGAAACTTTAGTAACAGAATTGTAGTATAAAATTCCTAGGCTCTAAAGCAGAAGGATAGGAATGCGAGGCTGCCATGAGACTATCCCTATTTCTTCCCTCAGGTTAAAACTGAAAAGCAGAGAGGATTCTGGGAAGATGGCAGAATAGGTCAGAAAGTTCCAAACTCTCAAGATTTTTCCCCACAAAAGAGATAAAATAGTGCCTCAGGGCAAACAAAGTGTGTATGGGGGAGTTGTGGTGGGTAAAAATAAATAATAATAGGGGCATAGTAGGGGTCCTCCTGGGACCATCTGAGAAGATCAGAAGAAAAATCCCAGGAAGACTGGTCCCTGTGAAGAGTAAACACCTTCAGGCTAGGGTTCAAGTTAAGAACAAGTGGCAAGCCCTGGGGTTAACTGGTCTGGGAGGTGACTTCAGCCCCAGCCACTGGAACTTTTTACTCCTGGAATAGTGAGGAGAGTTGGTAGTCTGAGTCTAGGAAGATCGAGGTAACCTCTGCTGACAAGGAACATCAGACCCAGCTGTGCTGCAGAGAGTGCAGAGTGGCAGGGACTAGAAGGAACTAGCACACACTGGGCGAGTGCAAAAGCAGTGGTGTGGAATGCCCCTGGACGTGAGCGCTTACAGGAGGCTGAAGGTTTGGTTTTGGCTCTAGATTAGTGGGGAGAACTGAAGATTTGGGCAAGAGGCAGCACCTCCCATACCACAGGACCAGAGGTGATTACCAAAATTAGCCTATTACTCCAAAAAAATGCATAGGCAAAGGAGAAGGAATCCAACTATAGAAAGTTATTATGGGGATAAAGAAGACCAGAGCAGGATATTGAAGCAAAGAAATACCCCGAAAGAATAATACTTAATGGTCACCTGCCTGAAAAGGATTCATAGAAGAACTTAAAAAAAGACTTTAAAAGTCAAATGAGAGAAATGGAGGAAAAACTAAAACAAAACAAAACAAAAAACAAAACAAAACAAAACAAAAAACAAAACAAAACAAAAAACTAAGAACAATCCAAGAAAAAAAAAAGATTGTGAAGGTTAACCAATTGAAAAAGGAGATCCCGAATATTTTTTTAAAAACTTAATTAATTTTTAGTTTTCAACATTCACTTTCACAAGATTTTGAGTTCCAAATTTTCTCCCCATCTCATCCCTCCTCCCACTCCAAGATGGCATGTATTCTGAATACCCTTTCCCCCAATCTGCCCTTCCTTCTATTACCCACCCCCTTCACTTATCTCCTTCCCTTTCTATTTTCCTGTAGGGCAGGATAGATTTCTATACCCCATTGCCTGTATATCTTATTTCCTAGTTGCATGTAAAAACAATTTTTAACATATGTTTTTAAAATTTTGAGTTCCAAATTATCTCCCTTCTTCCCTCCCCACTCACCTTCATTGAGAAGGCAGGCAGTTCAATATAGATTATACATGTGTAGTCATGCAAAACACTTCCATAATGGTCATGTTGTGAAAGACTAACTATATTTCCCTCGATCTCATCCCACTCCACATTTAATCGAATCTCTCCTTTGACCCTGTCCCTCCTCAAAAGTGTTTGCTTCTGATTACTCCCTCCCCCAATCTGCCCTCCCTTATATCATCTCACCTTCTCTTATTCCCTTCTCCTCTATTTCCTGTAGAGTAAGATAAATTTCCATACCCAATTGAGTATGTTATTCCCTCCTTAAGCCAAATCCAATGAGAGTAAGATTCATTCATTCCCTCTCACCTCCTCCCTCTTCCCTTCCACTATAAAAGTTTTTTCTTGCCTCTTTTATGTGAGATAAATTACCCCATTCTAACTCTCCCTTTCTCCTACTCCCAGTATAATCCTCTCTCACCCCTTAGTCTCACTTTTTAGATATCATCCCTTTATCTTCAACTCACCCTGTGCCCTCCATCTATATATATTCCCTCCAACTACCCTAATACCGAGAAAGGTCTCATGAGTTACAAATATCTTGTTATCTTTCCTGTTTACCTTTTCATGCTTCTCTTGAGTCTTGTATTTGAAAGTCAAATTTTCTATTCAGCTCTGGTCTTTTCATCAAGAATGCTTCAAAGTCCTCTATTTCATTAAATATCCATTTTTTCCCCTGAAGGATTATACTTAGTTTTGCTGGGGAGGTGATTCTTAGTTTTAATCCTAGCTCCTTTGACCTCTGGAATATCATATTCTAAGCCCTCTGATCCCTTAATGTAGAAGTTGCTAAATCTTATGTTCAAAATGTTTTTTGAACTCTTCCATGGCCCAAGACCAATTTATATTTTTCTTGGAGGCTTTGGATGTTGGAGCTTTGACTTGATTGTCTTTTTCTGGTTATATGTTTTGACATTCTTGGTCACCAAAATAAGATTCTATAGTCTAAGTTTTTTCCACTGCTTGCCCAAGTTTCCAGCCAATTACTTCACTTTGTAACTCTTTATTAAGGTAAGGCTCTGCTTCCAGTGTAGAGGGTGTACTGTCCCAAGCTTTAGGGGTTTTGTGTAGCTG